TTTTCTGGTTAATCTTAAAAGGTTATGATGGAGCTAAAGCTGATATTTGGTCATCTGGGGTTGTCCTGTTTGTTCTTCTAGCTGGTTATCTCCCTTTCAACGAACAAAATCTAATGGAAATGTACAAAAAAATCACCAGAGGAGAATTCAAATGCCCTCAATGGTTTCCCCCAGAAGCTCGCAAGCTCCTCTCAAGAATCCTCAATCCATGTCCTTTCACAAGAATAAACATGGCCACACTCATGGAAAATTCCTGGTTCAAAAAGGGTTTCAAGGCAAATGTAGCGGCTCCAAAACCCCTTCAAATCAAAGGCGACGTCTCGTCTATAAGCGATGTCGAGGTCGCTTTAGACGAGGGAAGCTCTGTTAGTAACAGCAGCATTGAGAGTGGAAGGCCACCAACAAGAACTAATTCCTTCAATGCATTTGATATCATATCCCTCTCACAAGGTTTTGATCTGTCAGGTTTGTTTGAGAATGATATGAATGAGAGGCCACCGACACGGTTCACTACGACGAAACCAGCATCGACGATCGTGTCGAAGTTTGAAGAGATAGCAGAGATGGAGAGGTTCAAAGTGATGAAGAAAGATGGGATGGTGAAACTCCAGGGAAGTAAACAAGGAAGAAAAGGGCAGTTGGGTATTGATGCTGAGATATTTGAAGTGACACCTTCTTTTTTTGTGGTGGAGGTCAAGAAAACTGCAGGAGACACCTTGGAATACAAGCAATTTTATAACAAAGACATGAAGCCTTGCCTTAAGGACATCGTGTGGGCTTGGGAAGGAAACGAGCAGCAACAACAGCAACAACAACAACAGCAGCCGCAGCCGCCGCAGCCGCAGCTCCAAATCCATAATAGATGAAGAACGAAAAGAACTTGTAAAGTCGTTTGGCCTTGTTCTTGTTCATGTTCTTGTTCATGTTCATGTTCTTGTTCGTGGGATTTTGATGGTGTTATCCGTGAATATGTCGTGTCCATGTGTGAAACAGGGGAAGGTGATTTACTTTTTAGTTGGTTTGTAATTAGAGTGTTTGTTTACAGCCTAAAAGACATTCAATTCTCATTATTGGTTTTGTTTTGTGTGAATCAAAATAAGAACATGAGGCTTGTTGAGATGCTTAATGATTAAATGTTTGTTGGTTTAGTGAAGTTTAAGGTTGGAAGAGATAAGCTTGTCGGGGATTATTATGGATCTAACAATAATTATGAGCCATTAATGGAGTTAATCTAAGTACCTAATTTTGTTTTAATGGCCTTTATTTTAACGTGTGAATTTCGAAGAGATGTAGAAGTGAAAAGTGCTCGAGATACCTCGAGAGAACTAGGAAAAACAAAATTAAAAAATATCTAAAAATTGGAAAATTCAGGTCGAAGTCGACGAGGATTTTGCCCCCACTTACCAACTTCAGGGGTATGGTTCTTCTCGGACCAGACGTGCAAGAAAAGAAAAGAAATGGGAAAGAGATAGAGAAGTTAGGATTCGGAGAAGAAAGAAGAAAAAAATAGGAGAAAGAAAAGGGGATTCGATTGATTCGGGTTGAGTGGTTGAAATCCGTCGTGGAGTATCCACCAGAGGTGAATATTGAATCTGTCTGAAGTAGATTGGGCGAAAGATCGTTCATTTCCACCAAGAACTCGAGGTAAGTCTGCGAATTTTTCTTTCGGCCTTATCTTAATGCAGAGAGAGTCGGGGGAAAGCAGGCCTAATCATGCATCTAGCTCTCTATTCAGCTCCACTATATTATATATATAATATATTATATTATATATAACATCGACCACAAAAAATTGAAAATTATTATTTATACCAATAAGGTGCACCTTTTTTTTCGATGGTTCAGACATAAAAACTCAATTGAACGTATTTTGTTTGGAGCAATCTTATGTTGGGTGACTTCCTGTTGTCAGATCATGTCATAGGGGAATGTCAAGGTCATCATGTGCTTGAATTTCGAATCTTGGACATGGATCGTTACAACCAAATAACGAATCAAATTTTTATTAATTCACACAGTATTTTCAAAATCATTCAAAACGAGACGAATCTATCCGAAAAGATAAGTGAGACTCGATCGAGAGATTGGATGAAAATACTTCAAAACGAGACGAATCTATCCGAAAAGATAAGTGAGACTCGATCGAGAGGTTGGAATTTTGATTTGGAAGTATGTGGGAGAGAGTGATTGTAATTCAACTAATCCTTAAAGTCTCCAAAGGAAATAGTGAGTGGGAGAGAGTAGGTGAAAATGAGGCGTTTTTAGTGTGTGATTTGAGGAATAAGTTGTTTCGCCAACTTCAACATCCATAGGAAATAGTGAGTGGGTCACCAAAACCAAACACTTTTCTCTTAGAGTTTGTGTTTGGCCTCTTATGGATGAAATCATATTCGTCAGACTCAACAATCCTTCACATGTACTTCTCTCTCAGAGGTCGGAGATTTAAATCTCTATACTTCATACTTGGTGTACAAATGTGACAAAGTCCAGAAAAAATTATCTGCTGGAGGTGAGCTTTGGCTGTTACAAATGGTATCAAAGTCAGATACTAGACGCTGATTGCTGAAAAGGGTAGACACCGAGCGGTATGCTAGCAAGAACACTGGGCCTCGAGTGGATTGTGAGATCTCATATCAGTTGGAGAGCGGAACACAACATTTTTTTTTATAAGGGTGTGAAAGCTCTCCCTAACATTACGTTTTAAAAACCTTGAGGGGAAGCTTGAAATGTAGAGTACAAAAGGACAATAAAAATGATAATAATAAATGGATCGTCATGTAATATTAAGTTTCGTCCATTTATGGCCCTGACATTCTCTTAGACATGATTACATTACTTACTTTTTGCTTCTAAAAGGGAAGATTATTATGACAGACCAACAAAACATTTTGACATGTTTTGTCTTCACTCACAAATTTTCGAGAGATGATCTAACATAGAATTACTCCAAGCAAAACACACTTAAATTTTAATTATTTAAAAATAAATAAATTTGTCGTCCTATTTTCAAGATCGCTCTCATTCAGATATGATCTTGGTTCATTCGTGTGAATAAATTATTAAATATACAAATTCAATATGAAAGGAAGAAAATAACAATCCATTGTGAATATATGGAATAAAACATTTTATTAAATTGTTTTTTTAATTATATTTCAAAATTGAAAATATAAATAAATAAATTTGGTAATGATGGAGAATACGCGGAGGCTTTTCGCCTTCACATCTAACGACCTCTCATTTTTTTCATTATTATTATTTTTTTCGCTTTATTTCTCTTTATAATAATAATAATAATTATTATTATTATTTTGACATTGTTCATAATAAAATCTTAATATCCATTTGGACCCCACATGTAAATAAAATACAACCAATTAGTCAAATTAAGACGCCAATTCACATTTTTAATTCAACACCTAGATAATAAAGTATAAAAGACTTACCGAGCGTCAATGCCCAAATTTTCTTGGTCGGCCTCGTAAAGTCACATCGGGTTGAGAGAAGAACGAAACATTTCTTGTAAGGGTATGAAGACTTCTTCCTAACAAATATGTTTTAAAACCATGAGGCTGAAAACGATACGTAACGAGCCAAAACAAATAATATCTATTAGTGGTGGACTTAAGTTGTTACATGCCCCAAACGTTCTCGATTCGAACAAGTCCCGAATAAGTAGTATCAAAGTCATGTTTGTAACTTAGTCATGTAGATAGAATCTTCGTATGTCGAACAAAAACATCGTAGACCTTGATCAGTCGTAATAGAGATCCATGGTAAAGCTCTATCCAACCAGTGAAATTTAGGTTGACCAAACATAAAAATTCATAAAAGATTTTTAAATTAATTAATTAATTTTTTTTTTTATAGAATTTCGATGTAAATCATGGCATCACTGTCCCGTGGTCTGCGCTGCTGCCGTTTGACGAACAATTAAGTCAGACTTCCTCGTTGACTGTTACAGCCATCATTACCATTCATTTTAATTTCATTTAAATATATATATTTCAAATTCCTCTCTTTAATTAATTAAAATTAATTAATTATTTTATTAAAGTACTTCATTAATTCTATAAACGAACTTAATTAAAATGATTAAAGTATTCATATAATTAAAATTATTAAATTTAGTGGTTACATATACCCAAAATATTAATGGCCAATAATATCATTTTTTTTTATAAATATTAAATTTATAAAAAATTCAACCAGAAATATTTGAGATATTTCAATTTCTATGTTCACGAAAATAGTTTAAATTCGTTTAATATGTCAGGAAATATAGTTTTTGATTCGGGAGCAAACAGACCTACAGAAAGAAGGGAATGAGGGAATATGGTTTACCACGTTCAAGAAAAGAGTTGTAAGATACCATATTCGTTGGAGAGAATAATGAAACATCCCTCACAAGGGTGAGAACTTTTCTCCAGCAGATGCATTTTAAAATCATGAAACTGACGGTTATAAGAGGCCAAAAACAGACCACATCTATTAAAGGTGGACTTCAGCAGTTACAAATAGTATTAGAGCTAAACACCAAGTACTGTACCAGCGAGGACGCTTGCCCACCAGGGGAACCACATTCCCTATAAGAGTGTGGAAATCTCTTCTCAATAGACGTTTTTTAAAATCGTGAGGCTGACGACGATACGTAACGGGTCAAAGCGGACAATATATGCTAGTGGTGGGTTTGAGCTGTTACAAGAGCTACTCCACCTATAATTCAAATTCCAATCAATGTGAGACGAAAATAGTCGGAGAATATAATTTCGAGCCTCGCAAATTATATTTATATATATATATATATATATATATATGATATGCACTACCTATTTTATATTTGAAATATTGGAGTTTTTACATGTGATGTGACTTACTAAGGGTTATTCATGAAGGGGCAATTAAAATAAAAATAATTTATATATGTTATTTAAAAAATTAATAATAAAATTCCCACCTATTCCAACATTATATATTTTATTAATTAAAAAAATCAGTCGCCTCCATTTCATCCCTTATTCTATGGCCTTCCCCACTTACCCCTCTCCCACTTCACTTCTTTCCATAAAAATGCACCTCTCCATCAACGACAGCTCCTGAGGGAGATAGCTCGAAATGGAACCTTTCCGTTTTTGCCGGATTCTGATTCTCACGGCGCTGATTGCTTCCACCGCCGACGCTGCCTGCAACACCACCGACAGACAATTCGTTTCCAGAGCTTTCAACTCTGTCTCCGGCTTCAACCTCTCCTGGGTTTTCGTCAACTCCCTGAACTCCACCCACTGCGCCATTGAAGAAATCAACCTCCCCTTCAAGAATCTCACCGGAATTATTTCTTGGAGGTTTCTACGAAACTTGACTCACTTACGCTCCATTGATCTTTCCCGTAACTCGCTGGAAGGCTCTGTTCCGAATTGGCTCTGGGGCGTACCGAGTTTGGTTCGTGTCGATCTTTCCGGCAATCGATTTGGAGGAAATGTTGGGTTTAAATCTAATTTTAGTAATGGGTTTTCTTCTTCGATTAGGGTTCTTAATCTTTCTAGCAATAGATTCTCTAACTCTGTTCGGCTCTCTGTTTTTTCGCGGCTGGAAATTCTGGATCTCTCCCGGAATAATCTGCGGTTTCTCCCTTCTGGGTTGGGGAAGGTTAGGAATCTAACGCATTTGGCTGTTTCGAAGTGTAATATCTCTGGAAATTTGAAACCCATCTCTGTTCTTCATTCGCTTGAGTATTTAGACGTGTCGGGAAACTCCATGAACGGTGATTTTCCGGCGGATTTTCCTCCGCTTGATCGATTGAAGTTCTTGAATGTTTCGGTAAACAAGTTTAAGGGAGTGGTTAGCTCCGAAAACTATAAGAAATTTGGGAAATCTGCGTTCGTTCAAACTGGGATTACTTCAGTTCATATTAATACCCACGCCGGAGACAGAGCCAGAGACAGAGCCGTCCCGAGGAACAATACCATCCATTCACACAAACCCATTAAGGAATCAGTGAAAAAAGGCGAACCCGAATCGAAAGCGAAGGCTCTGGTTGTAGCGGTGTCGGCTGGGGCAGGGGGTTTGTTTTTAGCGTCGGCTGTTGTAATGATGTGGCTATGGTGGAGACGAAAGAGAATGATGAGGGAAAAGAACAAATGGGCAATTTCTACGCCCGTCCAAGTTCAGTTCAAGATGGAGAAATCTGGGCCGTTCGCTTTCGGGACAGAGTCTGGATCCTCCTGGATTGCTGACATTAAGGAACCATCTTCAGCTCCGGTTGTGTTGTTCGAGAAGCCATTGATTAGTCTCACCTTCAAGGATCTGATGGCTGCTACGGCGCATTTCGGTAAAGAGTCCCTTCTTGCAGAGGGCAGGTGTGGCCCTGTTTACCGAGCCGTCCTTCCCGGCGATATCCATGTGGTAATCAAAGTCCTTGAATCTGGTAGCTCCGTTCATCGCGATGGGGCTGTAGCCACGTTCGAGGAGCTTTCGGCTCTCAAACATCCCAATTTGTTGCCGCTCTTTGGTTACTGCATTGCAGGTATGTTTTATCGTGTCTGTGTATGAATGACGGAGTCTTATCTAATTTAGGATATGATCATAGATTCACTAGTAGGAGACATTGTGAGAAGCTCAAAGGAAAACTACGAGAGAGTTTATGTTCAAAGTGGACAATATCATATCATTATGAAGAGTCGTGATTCCTAACATGGTATTAGAGTCATGCCTTTAACTTAGTCATGTCAATAGAATTCTCAAATTTCGAACGAAGAAAGAGTTGAACTTCAATTATGGAGATGTTGTTGGAGGGGAGGACTTTCTTCCAGAGTTTCAGAGAAGGAGTCAAGCCTCGATTAAGGAGAGGTTGTTCGAGGGCTATAGAGAAGGAGTCGAGTCTCGATTTAGGGGAGGCTGTTCGAGGGGAGGACTTTGTTCAAGGGTTCCGGAGAAGGAGTCGAGCCTCGATTAGGGGAGGCTGTTTGAGAGTTCCAGAGAAGGAGTCGAGCCTCGATTAAGGGGAAACTATTCAAGGGGAGGACTTTGTTCGAGGGTTCCAAAGAAGGAATTGAGCCTTGATTAAGGAGAGGTTGTTTAAGGGCTCCAGAGAAGGAGTCGAGCCTCGATTAAGGGAGATGCTATTCGAGGGCTCCAGAGAAAGAATCGAGCCTCGATTAAGAGAAAACTATTCGAGGAGAGGACTTTGTTTGAGGGCCGAGAGGAGTCGAGTCTTGATTAAAGGGAGATTGTTCGAGAGCTCCAGAGAAGGAGTCGAGCCTCAATTAAGGGGAGGTTAGTTGAGGATCGTTGGGAGAGAACCTTTTAGCTTAACCGTGGAACAAAAAAAGTTCTGAGCTTCTAAAGTATACTCAAAAGTAATTAAATGTCGAATAAAATGTACAATACAAATCGAAATTTCTAACCATACATACATATAATCCGAAAACCGTCAGAGCTCATTAATGTTTTTGTTAATTTCTGTGTCCTGTTCTTCAATTTCAGGTAAAGAGAAATTGGTGTTGTACGAGTTCATGGCGAACGGCGACCTCCACCGGTGGCTTCACGAGCTACCCACCGGCCAGCCCAACGTGGAGGATTGGAGCACCGACACGTGGGAGATCAACAACAACAACCACTCTAGTGTATCTCTTTTATCGTCACCGGAGAAGCTGGGTTGGCTAACACGCCACCGCATCGCCGTCGGGATCGCACGTGGGTTAGCGTATCTCCACCACGCCAGATCCAAACCAATCATCCACGGGCATTTGGTGACGTCCAACATTTTGTTGGCCGACGACTTCGAGCCTCGGATTGGCGGGTTTGGGTTCCGACATGTCGGCGGGGACAACTGCGGCGGAGTGGAGAAAGACGTGTACTGCTTCGGAGTGGTGTTGATGGAGCTTTTGACGGGGATGCCGGGAAGTGCCGACACGGTGGTCGGAGTAAGAAGGATGGTAAGAGAGGGAAAAGCTTTAGATGCCATAGATCCCAGACTACGGCTCGGCGGCGGTGAATCGGAAATGGTGGAAAGCCTCCGTGTGGCGTATCTGTGTACGGCGGAGACGGCGTTGAAACGGCCTACAATGCAGCAGGTCCGAGGGCTGCTCCAGGACATACATCCCACCTAGAGCGGACTCGTGTGAATATAACTCTCAATTGACTAAACTGTCCTCATCTCATCGGGAAATTACGAACAATGCCACTGTGTATCAAAAGGACGAAAATGCCCTCGAGAAAATCCATTCTTGACCCAGCTTTTAAGAATTTATTTTGTTTTTTTGAGGGTCATTAAAAAATATTAATTGTATAGAAAAAAGAGAATTAAGGAAATAATAATAATAAAATAAAAAAAAAAGTGGAAAAATGAGTTGTGAGGGCAGAGAATAGAATCCCACTAATTGTTTGTCTCTTCTTCCCATAATGCCCTCCATCATCATCCAATTACTATTATTTATTAGGTTATCCAATACCTCGTATCAATATTTTTTTCTTCGAGACCCGTGAGTATTCGAACAAGTTTATGTGCATTTCGACTAATCTTATTGGATCATCGTCTGATCTTACCAAATTTGATTTTCTAGGGGCTTAGAGTCACTACTACGTAACTTCTTTATGCGGAGACATTCATTTAAGACAACTTCATAAAACAATGTCATGGACTTATACGTTTACGAAAGGGTCTTAAAATAATACAAATGAAATATCAACATAACAATGTCCTATACTAGTCTAAGATCTATGAAAATACAGGTAACTACCCTATGTAGATTCCATGGTCTTTGGTGCGATGACGCCTAACTGTACCAAAGACCATGAAATCTGCATAGGTTAGTTGTATTTATTTTCATGTGGGTTGTATGTAGGGAAGTACTACACATCCAATTTGTCCGGACTGGAGGCCACTTAAGAGATTGTGATTTTAAATGATAGGTTCTTATTCATGATTGTATGTGTTTGCATTCCCTAACTCCAGTAGTAGGGTCATTTATTGAGTATTTCTTAAAATACTCAAACCATGTGCCACTCTTAGGTAAAAAAGCTGTTGCAAGGATCTAAGAATTGGGCAAGGACGGGGATGAGGAATACAATCCCTGTCTTTGGTCCCGTTTATATAACTATTATAAATCTCTCTCTACTCTTTTCGTTCTCTATTTAGTCGAGATTTTTCACTCCGTTTAAGGCGGGTCCACACGGACCTTGCCGTGTAGGGTAAATAAATATCTCTAACCCAAGTATTAAAGGAAAAAAAGAGGGGAAACTTATAAGCATTTTTTAGCCTAGGGAAATGAGGGATGGGGTCCAATCTTAATTGGGCTTTTATTGTGTAAGCCCACTTCAAACCAGGATTTTGGCCCAGCCCAAGTTCAAACCAGGCTTTTGGCCCAGCCCAAGTTCAAACCAGGCTTTTGGACCAGCCCAATTTCAAACCAGGCTTTTGGCCCATGTATGATGTTTTGGTCCATGTATGATGTTTCGTTCAATTTTACCGGCATCGCCCACCCGGGAAACCGAAAACCCTTCTCCCTAGCATCGACATTTGATTCAAAATCCCAAGCTGTCTGGATTCAATTGAGATCCGACTTCCGATTTCATAGTCCAATTTCTTTGTCGTTGAACCATTTCCTGCCGGGTACCTTGAATCGAAGCTCTCATGGCATCGAAGAAGAAAGAATCCGAAGGGATAGCTTTACTCTCGATGTATAATGACGAGGACGATGAGATGGAAGACGTTGAAGATGTAGAAGAAGAAGAAGAAGACAGTGAACTGCAGCAGCAGAGGCAAGAAGAGGGAGGAGACGATGATTATGGAGTTAGGGTTGCAGAAGAAGAGTCGGCTGTAAACAGCGACAGAATGATTGTCAGTGAATCTGCTAATGATTCGACGCCGCCGGTTGATGATGAAAATTTCACTCCAGATAAGCTCAAATTCGGGTCTTCCACTCCGCAGCCTCCCCAGGCTGTGGTTTCAACGTCGCCAATGCTATTACAAGATAATTCTGGTAGAAGAAGGGGGACGCTTGCGATAGTTGATTACGGTCACGACGAAGCCGCAATGTCTCCAGAGGCTGAGGTACTTACATCATCTCTGTTTGTTTGGTGGTAAGCACGCTGGCTAAAGTTCTAGTGGAATGCGTATTGTACATTTCAAAGAACTGGAAAATAAATCAATCAATCAATCAATATAGCGTCGAACTAAGATGGGCGGTTCCACGTTGTTCTGTTGCTGTAGATGTTTGTTAAGTTTAGCTTTTATGGGAATTAAGGCAGCCCATCCGTGAGAAATCTTTTAGTGAAAATAATTTTGCATTCGTCTGTTTACATACAGGATGGAGAAATTGAAGAATCTGGTCGTGTCACATTTGGCGATGAGCTTTTAGGCACCAATGGTTTGTATGATTCTTTTAATAGTGAAAATTTACTTTGCTTCTTCTCATTTTTATAATCTAACAATGCTCCAAGCGCATAGTTAATACTCGTCTGCTCTAGAAAACTTCGTACTACCATCAATCCTTATTTGTTTAGCCGTTCATCCATGTTATTTTATATAATTTCCTGTCTTATGAAAATCTGGATTTTCCTTCTCATTTGTAAACTTCGTTTGGTGAATGGTATCATGAAATCGTTTTTGTATGGCCTTGCCTTGTGTTGGAAGTGCAATAAGGTTGACACTCTCGTGATCATATTGTAACATGTCCTTAATGGTGTACCACAATCATTACTGGAAAAGGGTGGAAGCTTAGGATGTTGGCTATTTCAGGATCTAAAGGCTCTACAGCATGTTGGCCGAAAAATTAGTATATCTTCAAAAGACTAGCAAGGTGTAGGATTTTGTTTACCCTTTCATGTATCATAATCATATATGCTAGGCAGAGTTATTTGATTGGCTCTGGGGTTTGTTGTGTTAAGTCTTTTATTCCTCAAGGTTAATTATTTTGGGATGATTTCTTGATGTTTGATAAATATTGAAGATTTAACATCCAATTACTATCTTCAGGTAGCAATGTCTTGTGTTGATTATGGTCACTTCTCCTTTTTCCTCCTCCTTGATTACTTTATTTTACTTTTTTAATTTTTATGATGCAGGTGATTTTGATAGAACATCTCCCGGGACTGTAAGAGTTCCAACACCAAACAATTTAGCCACTCCTCAAATTTCTGAATCACCACATTCTGGTTCAATGAACAACATGATACTGGAATCTGAAACTGAAAAAGTTGAGGAAACTGTTGAAGAGGAGAAAAAAGATATCGATCCTTTGGACAAGTTTCTTCCGCCACCACCAAAAGACAAATGCTCAGAGGAGCTGCAAGTAAGCTTCATTTCTGATATAATGACTACTTATGTTCTGAAGAGCTTTTAATTGTTTTCCCCAAATGGTATGCACTCTTGAATGTCGATCTAGTTTTTGATAAGAAACATAAAGCAGTTGATACCCATGGAATATATTTAACCATTTCTTGGGTTTTCAAATCAATAGCCTGAGTTGTTTATTAATGCCACGGGCAGGGTACGGGGTTAGAATGTGTTGACATGTTGGTGAACTGAAGGTATTCTTCGTTGGTGATTATGTGTGACTTGGTTTATGACCTTGATGGGTTTGGTTCTTGTTCTTTGGCCCTCTGATAGGAGAAAAATTTAGGATGTGCATGCACACAGGGACTTTACAAGTAGAAGTTTTAGTGCAGGATGATTTTTTTAGGTCTGCAGGATGCAATAATTCAGGGCCTAATCTTTTTTAGGGGAAAAAACTATGGTATAAACTCTAAACTTTCACAAGCTAATCAATTTAGACCCTCTATGAGAATTTCGTTTTGAAATCATTAAAGCAAAACATTCACATGTATAAAACTTCCTTATGCATGATTTATTGTAAATTAGAGTGAAATGTCATAATCAAATAGATAATATTGATCTTTCACTAATATGAGTGGCTTTTCATTCTCTCGTATTCTTCTTTTTTTTCCTACTTATTTTGAAAGAATGACATGGTAATTTCTTGTAATGACACACTTTTCAAGAGACTCGAGCCACATATTGTCACTAACTGACGTGAAGTATTTTGAAAATACACAATAATTTATAAAATTTTAAATGTGCATGCATTTAAGGAAATTCAAGAAAAAACAACGATCAAATCAAATACATAAAATCTGCGAAAACAAGACATCGATCTGTCTCATCCCCTATATCCCCACAGCTCGTGTGCATTGATTCCTCAGCTGCTCCTTCTGGCTTTCATCTGAAAAAGATTGAAGTTGCATGGATGAGTATAAAAACACTCAATTAGTTGCATGCTTGTAGTTCTTAGTTTATTTTTAAGTCTTATTGTTATTGGTTCATTCGTTCGTTCGACGACTTATTCGGACTAAGGAGTTCATTTCTAAGTTACAACGTTTCCTAGGCTATAGCCCATGTTTACTTTGTTTACCTAAGCTCAACTTAGGGTCATGGTGCGGTCGCAAGTTCTCTTTTCTTAGCCCTATCTGAGCTGTCAACTCTCATATTTTGTTCCTATCTGAGCCGTCAACTCTCGTAGTTTGTTCTCGGGGTTCTAAGGTATCTTGACTAAATGTTCTACTAGATCCTTTCATCGTCGTCATCATCATAGACCTATGACTAGGCTTTCTGGGTGCAACCTCGTCATCTTCTAGCTTATCGTTCTCGTCATACCATTATGGACACTATTATTAAATTCTTTAGTCTGGTTTAGTTGGCATCCCCTAGTAGGCCACATAATGTAAGCAGCGTTAAAGGAGGTTACGACTCTCAATCTAGCCAACACTCATTTACCTATGTGGTCCCTTGTTCTCATCCGAGCAAGTTCAGGATTAGGGATTGGTTGGAGACCCTCTAACCACACCCACAAGACTCTTATATTTCTCGTAGGGTTCATGCATTTACAGGGTTTAACCTAGTTCTACTAACTCATAAAAGTACTACAGGCTCCTATTGACCAGAGAAGTTCACTACAAAGAAATTAACTGGAAAACTCCTAATAGGCCAAATCGTGCAAAAATGAGTAAAGTAGTTCAATTGGAGTGGTCCAATTGGACCGGTTGTCTTCAACCTCCAGCCATGAGTCTCCCTCGATTTGTTTCTTCTTGTTCCGTTCTCGTGCTACAAGCCCGAAGGGTGTCTGCTCCCTTCAGCAAAGTTGGAGTTTTCTTTGAGCCAAGTTCAATGGTTCAATAACCATGAAGTTTTGTTTGGAGTTAAGGGAGTGTTGTCTGTTGAAGTTTCTCAAAAACCCAAAACCGTAACT